AGATAAAAAACAACAAAGTAACAACACAATGATAAAATTAACATTAAAAAACACAAATGTACAGGATGTAAAGGAGTTATGAGAACGGGTGGAGAATGATCAGACTGAATATGCCAGTTTAAAAAGATGTGTTTTGAGATGAGATTTGAAAATGGAGAGAGTGTCGATATTACGGATTTGTGGTGGGAGGGAGTTCCAGAGGTGGGGGGCAGAGCGGCTGAAGGCCCTGGACCCCATGGTGGACAGGCGGGCGGGTGGTGCAGTGAGTTGAATGGAAGAAGAAGACCTGAGAGTGCGAGTAGGTGTGTTGATGTGCATGTTAATAAGACATCATCGCATCACTCCTCAAATTGCTGAATGTAAAAAAAAAAAAAAGGAGTAATGAGGTCGGAGCCTTGACGTCAAACACAAACTATGTTCTGTTGAAGCAATACATAGTTCAGTCAAATGCAAACCTAGTTGTCTGAATGAAAGTCAATAACTGTACTTATGTGGTTAATGTACTTGGATATCTTACCTTTCTGTTTCTTTAATCATGTTTACATTTATACTGAAACATTGTCAAGTGTCTAGTTTGGACCAGTTTTTTATTTGTTTGCACCTGAGAGTAATCATGTCTCTGACGAAAACAATATTTTGCAAAAAAGTATAACGATTACAAAGAAATGTTGTGGAGAATCATTTGAAATTATGGAGCAGATTTGTGTCTTTTCTTTGTTCCTAGAAGATAAATCATCTAATGATGTGTAGGATTTATCTTGTGACCACGTCAACAGCCTCATTTCAGAGTTAGGGCATGTTTTCCTTAACTTCCTAACATCAGCAAATTGTTATAATTGAAGTATTTAAAGTTTTTATTTTTTATTTTTAGTAAATTAAGCAAGAGACTTGACCTTAAGAACTTAAAAGGTTCGTTAATGTAAAACCTTAACTTGTTATAGATGATTACATTGTGACATGGAGCTACGACCTAAGTAAAGGATCTCAGTAATACTTTTTGAATACTGCTCTGCTTATTGCTAACACATACTGTCAAGGGAAGACAATCTAATAAATAGATTAAAAAAACCTGCCACAGTTCAGTCAAATCTAGTGTGCTTACCTCTTGAAACTTCAAAGGGGGATGAAATGTGTGACTGTTGTTGCACTCAACAACACTGACACATTCTCCCTTGTTGGCCTAAAGGGGGAGCTTGTGTCAAACTCTGGACTCAGCAGGCTGTAGCTGAAACCTGAAGGGATGATGTCGTTTATGGATGACATGCCTGAGGCGTGACTGTGTCATTTATGTAATCTTGACTTGTTTACTCATGTCTGTAAATTGTACACACATGTTGTAAATCTCAATGAAATCATTTATTTTTAGCATTCTTTCCACTCACTTTGTTTACCTTTCTTTTATTCAACCCCACCCAGTTCATCCTCATTCTTTCCTCTCTTACTAATTCTCCCATTAATCCCACTCTCTCTTGCAGATATGAAAATTGTTTTTGATTAAAAAAGTTTCTTTTGCGTTTTTTTCAATTTACAACTAAGGGTTTATTTCAAGGTTTGATGACTTACAAACATTATCCAATATGTTTTAAGCAAATACTTTTTCCCCAGGACTTCTTAGAAACCTTAAGGAAAAAGTTGAAGACATAGTATATAAAGCCTTGGATTTAGACCTCACAGAAAATACTAGTGTGTCAATACAGTGGTTTATTAAAAGGGCTTCGGCAAGCGATTCATGGGAGTGTTTGAGGAGAATAATATTTCTTGTTTGTGTACAGAAGAGGGAATATCAACCACTAAGGCAGGTGAAAAACAGACATATACATTAATGACAACTAGACATAAGAAAAATGTACCATTTGGGCTGTAATTAAACCAAACAAAAAAGTGATTACTGTCTTCAGAAATGAATCAGAAAATAGAAAACACCTTAAATCAAACTGAAGATGTGAAACAAACTAAGTCATAATTGGCAAATGTTTCAAGATTTACAGAGAAAAGATTCAACGGAAAAAAAAAGTCAGATAAAATGGTGTCAAATCGGTTGACAATGTTCCCTACTCTGACTTCCCACTCCCTCGTTTGCTGCATGAGGTCGTAGTGCAAACGCAGGCTAACTAACAGGGGTTCTGAGCTGATCCAGTGTCAGTGAACTGTCAAAGCAGATGGTACAGGGGGAGATTGGATGCTCAAGCTGCTTGCCTCATCTTTAAGCCTCAAATTACTGTCTTAACCTTGTAGGTGGCCTACTGTAAATAATCTGAGTTACTATCACTGCATGCACAGGGCACAATAAATCTTCAGGAATTTTAAGACAGTTAATGCAATATCAAAAGGGACGTTACAAATAGACAATCACTAGTTTGAGCTCAAAGTAAACTAGCTTTTAAAAAAAAAAGTACAAGTTTAAACCAGAGTACTCTTAAGCAGACTGATGTCACTAGACCTACATATTATTCACCACAGGGATATACAAGTTAACAGATCTTAATATGTTACTATTGTTGAAGATTAAATGTAAAATTTAAAAATTACATTCAAATAGAAGGCCTAAACCCCAGTTTCTTGATTTTGAAGGCCCTAAAAATTGATCAAATAAAAAGCAGTTACATCATGCTTCATGCATCTCTTACACAGTAATACTGTGTTTGGTTCCCAGCTGTTTTTGGCGTCTGTTCCTTTAAAACAATTGGTTAGTGAATTCCCAAAAAGTTTTGTTCAAATAACTTAAAGGCCAGACGATTCAGTTATTTTGTGTTATACTTGTAGAACAAGAGAAAAGTCTGTCAATCTTGTGTAAAGGAAATGTTTTTTTCCTCTCTGTCCTTTTTGTGATCCCACAGATGCATTCTGCAACAACATAGAGGTCCCTGTAGTAGGCCTACTACACTATACTAAAAATATGCAGGCAATATATATAACAGTCCCTTTTGGATGTACTTTATATACTAGTAATAGGCTAATCTTGAGGTAAACAGTGTGTCTGAGAATATAACCCTACATGATACTATGTTGCCTCAGCTAGTTCACTGGTTTCCTGTAATTCAGGTGTTTCTCCCAAAACTATCATCCACCAAGATCTGTTTACACATTAAGGCGTTTAAAAAAACATGGGGTAGGACAATAGGAATAAATTTCCCCTCCAAATCCATAGTTCTGCCATTATTGGGAAATCCCACGAGCTGATTGCCGATGAAAACTCCGCATGAAAACTCCCTACTCTTCCCTCCTTAGAGGCGCGTGCCAGAGCTTCCCTACAAGGCTCGTGCCCGGTGCGCATGCCCTCACCATTTGGGAAGCCCCTAGATTGACAGCACCGGTGGCTTTGACAACACTAGTATGGGGTTTCCATAATGTACAAGAAGGTAGCGTGCTTTGTGTGCGCATAATGCTGTTAAACGACGTGCACGATTTCAAAGATTATGTTTGGCGCGCAAAAACGGAGAAAAACTGAGCACCTCGATCAAAATGTGTAATAAGATTAAGATTGCCTGCATCCGTGATAATCGTTAATTTCCCGTTATTTCTTTCACTCCCTCGCAGTTTCACACACGCATGTGTCCATTTTGAATCAAACCATGTGCGCTGAGTGAATTACTGACAACATATTGTTGATTTGTGTGCTCAAAAGGGCTCTCCAGCCTGTCTTCCGTCAGACAGTTGCTGTTACTTCCGCGTAGTATGCTCCTTTTCACACTGTGTCATCATCGTCCGACTTTCACACTGTATGGCCCACATTCAAGCAGTCACGAGTAAGACTGTCCCATACTGCCCCTACTGGTGACTGGAATTATAACATCATTTCTTGTAAATGCTTGAATTCTTTGCTGGGTTGCGTTTATTTTAAAAGGCTGGTCCCCCGCACATGTTTATCATGCCAAGCATGCGCATGGGCGTGTGTGTTAGTGTGCAGCTGATAAAGTCCAAGAAATATGCTTGAATTGATAGTGTTATTTAAATTAAGTGCACTTTGCACAAACTGCAGATATATTTCACTATTTTTTGCAATATTATCATCAAAGTAATGAACAATGAAGTAATTTATAATAAGTAACACATGTCCTTTATTTTGCAGTATAGTAATATCAGCATAAACCATGATGTGCAAGTTTTATAACCTACATTTACTTTTAATATTGTATTTTGACAAAAAAGGCAAGTCTGCAAAGTCTGCACAGCCCCATGCTGAATAATAATAATAATGATAATAATAATAATATATAATAATAATAATAATTATTATTATTATTATTATAATGTTATATAATAATAATAATAATAATAATATAATATAATATAATAATAATAATAATATAATATAATAATAATAATAATAATAATAATAATAATAATAACAACAAGAAAGAATATAAATAATAAACGTGACAGTGACTGATAGTTCAGCTCATATTTTCGGTCTACGTGCAATAAGCCACCATAATCTGCCCATGTTGTTATTAACTTCCTCCTTGCTTTTAACGGTGTGATTTCTCGGAAACAGGTCTACTGCTTCAACTGCTGTGAGGCTGAGGCGCATGCGCATAAAACAACCGCTGTAAAAAAATATCAAACTTTTTTTTATTACTAGGCTATGTGGGGTCTTCAAAACACATTTCGATTGAAACCAAGAGAACGATGTCTTGCAAATATGCATTCATATGATTTAATATGTACAGTGCATGGGCAATATAAGTGAAAGTTGTTCATTTTACTGACTGAAAACAATTTATTTCGGTGTTTACTTCTACAACCTACTTGTCTAGCCTTTTCATGCAATGCACACATCATTTAAAATGATGATATGCGTGAACTTACAGTTTTTAGTTACTAAGTAAAACCCTAAAACGAAGGATTGATTAATATATATTTTAAATCTTGTCTTGAAAAAGAATTCAGAGACGGCTGATATCATGTTTTTTGAGGGTAGATATTTTTTACAGCGCCTGCGCGTCAAACCGGGGAAAACCCACGTCTCACTGTATATAAACCACTCACAGCGATGTGTAGTTAGATACTTCTGATCTGGACAGTCTGACGAGAGGATATTACAAAGACGAGGAGAAGCTTCTTTGGAGCAAAGCTCAAACAATTGGACTATTCTTTTGCATTTTCCTATCAAGGATCTTAGAACAAGCAAAGCCTGTAAGTGATTTGAAAGTTATTTTTCACTTATCCTTGCTTACAATGCCTCATAGACAATTTAAACTGTTTTTTAATTGCCCAACGATGCTTTTGAGTAGCCGAGAACTAAATGTAGTATTGAATAAATGTGCTGGTAGATTACTGTTGTTAAGATTGATTTTACTCATAGTACAAAGTTTGTGTAAATCTTGCACATCTGCATTAACTTGGTTAGGCTAAATGTGACTAAAAAATGAATTAATTTCTAAACTTATTTGATTACTTTTTGAAAAAAGATTTCTTTAAGCGTGTCTTGTGCTTTTAGAAGTGGATAGGGGAAGATAAAGCATGTCTCCAAAGCCTCGTGCTTATTAAAAAAGCAAGTTGCATTTAAAATAAAAAAAGACTGCCTAATGAATCCTTGTGCATTTGAACACAATCTTAAATGCAAAAGCAATAAAAAGTCAATTCAGGAAGTTTTTTTATGGGGGTTTAGTGTGGCCTTAGTAAAGAAACGCTCCTTCAGTACGTGGAGCCTACACGCCCCCTTGTTCGCCTGCGTGCCCTGGCCGTGAACTCTACTCGCAATCGAGCAGCAGGCAGCGGTAGAGCTTAGTGGTGGCAGATGCGGGAGTTCAGTTCCTCTCACTTCTGTATCTCACACAAAGAAAGCAGTGATCATTTTTTTCTAAACACCTTTCCCTTCCTTTGTTGCTGCCCTTTTAGGCAATCATGCCCGTGTCAAGGATGAGGATGAGGCCATGGCTGGAGAAGATGATCGAGTCTAAGACGATCTCGGGCCTGGATTGGGTGGACAAGGTAAATGGCTGACTCCTTTTCTTTCTGCAACATTGTTTCTGTACATGGTTTTTAATGAAAATATGAAACTAGGCTATAGACTGATGTGAAAACAGGACTTAGACATTTTGAAATGTATTTGTTGGAGGATTGGTCTACCTTCAGACACGAGGGAGGTGATCCCTTCAAAGCTGCACAATGTTTAGTCCCAGTACACAATATTTGCACGTTATTCTTAGAATGGCTTGTTAAGAGCATGGATTTGGTTTTGTTTAGGAGTAGAAAGAATCTATTAAAGCAGATACAGTACTCTAGCATAGAACTAGAATGACGTAAAGAGAAGTTTAAAATCTCTTCCTAAAATGGCATCAAATGGACTTAAACTTGTTTGGTGTGTTTACATCTGAAATCTGTTTATAGTGGCCACAAACATGCTCTGTTTGTCGGGCTCTTGCAATACTTCTTTTGTGTTCTTCTGCTTGCAACTCAAGTGTTTCTTATTCAATTTTGCAGAACAAGACGATGTTCTCCATTCCCTGGAAGCATGCAGCCCGACATGGCTGGGAAATGGAAAAGGATGCATGTCTTTTCAAAGAATGGGCACTTCACACAGGTGAGCAGGCATGGACACAGTTCATAATGCAAAACAAATATTATTACTCGTATTTATTTTTCTTGGATGCAAACTAAACAGGATAAATTTTACAGGAAAATACATTGAAGGTCAGAACTCGGACCCAAAGACATGGAAAGCCAACTTCCGCTGTGCAATGAACTCACTGCCTGACATCGAGGAGGTGAAAGACAAGAGTATTAACAAAGGCCACCAAGCAGTGCGCGTCTTCAGGATGTTGCCTGCCACACCTAAATCGAGAGGTGAGACAACCGACAGGAAGCGAGCAAACACTTGTTATGTGAAACTGTAGGTGTGCACTCATGCGGCATCAAATCTGTTTAAGGTGTCTAATGATAAAAAATGTTTTTATTTATTCTGCGCAGATACACGAAGACAATCTAAGGAAGGAAAGCCAAGGAAGAAGGTGAATACTACAGATATTTTATACATTTAAATGCCACTTTTTCTGTAAAACTACATATGTTTGTTTTTCTTCATGAGAATTTCAAAATTAAACTTAATATGACTTTTTGTCTGCAGTACCCAATGGTAAAGCTGGAGGTGGAGGAGGACAACAGTGATACCCAGACGTCTATGCCAGCAGGCACTCTGTCCACTCAGGAGAACACAGTCGACAGCACAATGCACACAGAGCAGCAAGGTGAGGAAGAAAAAACACATTGTTGAAGCATAAACCTGATGGTACCATCATTTGTTTGAGGCGTTTGGTCAAAACTGTCAAAGAAATACATGCTAGCAAAATCACTAAGTGCTCTACTACAAAAAAAAGTTCAGTTTCCTGTCATCACTGCCTATAGTTTTTTTCTAAGTTCCAGGTATGTTAAACTTTACTTTTTGCCACTTTTGCAGATGTTGCATCTGGGTTTCCATTTGATGCTCCAGACTTCTCTGTGTCAGTTGAGATCGGGACTGATTTATTCTCCCACAGATTTGAAGTTTCCCCTGAACACGACACTGGTAAGAGAACAACACATATTTCACACTTTTTTTTTTTACACATGCACAAAAATTACTTAAACTTTATTACGTAAACTGATACATCAACACAAGAAGTCCATACTCATGTCTCCTCCTTTCTTTCTCTCTCTCTATTTGCTGTGATCTTCCAGACTACGACATAAACGACGACATTATCGAGGTAAGCATTGCTTTTGAGTACTACATTTACTAGCATGCATTGATCATTGACAGGAAAACCCATGTTTGTCTTACTCTGCCTGTTTGGCTTGTGTAATAATACTCAACAATAAACAATACTATTGATTGTCAGAGACTGTTTGATAAAGAAAACTCCAGTTGTGTAAAACTAGCAATACTCATTCCAGTGTTGCTCTTTCAGATTTGTGCACAACTGGAGAAAGAATCCCAATGGATGACGAGCAGTTTAGACAGCAGGGGGTTCCTGTGCAATGAAGCATGCACCAGTCCAGGAAGCCAGTGGAGTGAGTCTTCCTCAGGTAAATGTTGCTACTTGATGGTCAGACAACTGTCTTTAAATGTATCTGCAACATAGTTAGGATCCTTCACAATGTTTGAATTTGAGGGTAATAATCCAGATATTTCACAAGGCTCATATTTTTTGCAAGGTTTTTCTGCAAGTAAATAACTTCAGTAAACACAATTATTAAGATGCACAAAAAAGAAGGGTCAGAATTGTGTTTTTTTTTAAGTCAAACTTTGTAACTCAGTCTCAAAACCAAATCTAACATTATCCTGATGACATCATCAGGGTCAACAGCCTCAGCTAATTCTGTATAATCATTTCACTATCCTAACCTTGGATTTCCTTTCTTTGTTTTGCAGTCGACGAACTAGAAGACTTACCTCAATACACAACTCTGGGCACAACCCACAATTCCACAGACATGGTCTGGAACAACTTCAGCCTGCTCCCCAGACTATACTGAGGAATATGGGACGTGATGGTGCTTTGTCACGTTGGACTTTTACAAAGCTTGTCCTATCTACTGACTCCAATTTGATGCCTCCTTTCAGTTGACACAACAGTCCTCATACTCATCTTTGTCATCATCCTTCCGGCTTGTGATGGGCGGTGTCCACATTTTAAGCTAAAAACACCGCTCTCTCCTCACCGTTTGCCATGTGCTTGATGCTTGGCAGGCAGTTCATCGAGCTTTCCTCATCACCTCAAACCTTTCAGTGAATCAAAAAGAAAACCCTGTGAAATGCACTGCTGTGTTAAAAGAATTCACATCTGGTTTGTAGTTGAAGCATTTGTTTTTGGCTGGTTCAAAGCATTATGGTTCTCTGTTATGTGAAACTCAGATTATGGCTTAATGCACACTAAGTGGTAACTTGTAATTACCTCAAAGTGCATCATCACTGCAAGACCATATTCAGTAATCTTAAGGTTTGATAGTTAGAATAATATCAAATAGTTATCACACAATATCTGTTCTTCCGTTACAGCAAAATCAATTCATAGTTTAAGGGATAAGAAAATCTTAACCGCCGGTGAAAGCTCGACTTCAAAATGTCCCTGACTGTTTGTGTTTTCTAATCTAAGTGTACATATTTGTAAATACTTGTCTTTTTGTGTGTTTTTTGTATAAAAATAAAAAAATGAATTGTGACTGAAGGACTTTTTCTTTTTGACTTAAGCAGTTTGAAGTTTATCAGGAATAGATCAGTGCAATGGCGCTCTTATGACGTTAGTGATTAACACCAGATATTCAAGTCTCAAATTGAAAAGTGTTTTTCAAGAAGACACCAAATGAAAATGAATCCTTGGAAGCACTAATGTGTTTCTAATCTTGTACTAATCGACAAGCAAGCAACAAATGTTGTTTTCTATGCCCAATGACTGTAAGGAAATATCAGGAAAAAGACAAACTGTCTCAGTTCAAGTCATCCCTTTTTATTTTTTTGTCTATCTTCATTTTAGTATAATGCTTTGGCTAAATCAAACAAACCATCATTACTAGTTTAAACTACAACATTTGAAGTTACTGCCTCATGAGTATTTAGAAAAAAATATCCAGCAGATTCTAACCTAGATTTTTCTATTTTTATTAAACATCAAAGCTTCAAAAAAGTATAAATGTTCTAAATAAATTTCCCCTGCAGTTAACGGCTTTGGAGAAGGAATTAATGAGTGGTGTGGGTTTCTATGTTATACTCTAAAATCATCATATTTCATGTATATTTCTACTATGATACTCTGGAACACACAGGCTGCACACTGCACACTGCACAATCTGTATTCTGTTAAAAAACGATCTTTTTAACTTGGGCAGTAAAAGTCAAGGAGCTACGCATTTCCTTGGCAAATATGACACCTTTAAATTTTACATCCTAAATGGCCCGGCTACTACACTACTAAGAGTAAAAGCATTTAAATAACAGGGAGGGGGCTTTTCTGTAAGAACTCAAGATTGACATAATCAACAACAAGATTACACTATTTCTCATTGAGTGAAGACACATTCTATGAATATTGTTCTTTTAACCTGCTAAATGTTTACTTTCCCATCCTGTGAGCTTTCTTTTTAATTGACAGCATGGCATGATCTGAAAAAGCTGTTTCTTACATCTCTGTGCTGCATGGGCTATGTTTTTTGATGTATGATCCCTTTCACTAACTGTATTGGTTTTAAAAAAATATATTTGACCAAGATAGACGCAAATAATGTGGTACTTTATTTACCTTGTATCGCCTTAAATTTCTCTGCATGTCAGCATCCATTTAAAAAAAAGGATGTGATCAGTATTGTTGTCATTTATTGCTTTTTCACTTGATTGGCAATGTACAAAAAAAGTGAAGGTTATTGATAAGTAAAAAAAACAATAATTGAGTTATGCTTATTGAAGTGTGTCTGCATGGCTTGTGCACTTATTGAGAAAGATAGATGTCACATCTCTGACCCACCGAGCATGTGAAGGTGGAGCACGGTCCTTCCACTTAAGAAGAATAAGTCGGCGGGCCAGAAGAGGGGCAAAGGCCAGAGAATTTGATTGATAACTCGAAAGGGGCAACCCTTCTGGAGCTAGGCTAAATATAGCAGATACAGGGTTAGGTGGTATATCATGTGAATACATATGAGAGCATCTCAAACACAGAGATCCAGAATGGGGTAATCGACCGGCAGGAGAAAAACATGTGAGAGAAGGTGGCAGGGGCAGCATGACACGTCTGACAGGTGGGGTCGGTACCCGGATATAGCCTTGCAAGCCTGCTTCTGCAGAGATGTAATCGAAGGAATACCTTCAACAGTTGAAGGTTAACCGTAACAAATTAAAATAATAGAGGATCAGAGTGTGTTGCCCTTACTTATAATGATTCATTAAACGGATAAAGAAGAAGAGTAGTTCTACAACTGCTATGGTTTTCATATTGTGATGGACTTCATATTTATTGTAGCAACAGCAAGTGATAACTTCACTCTGACTGATGCAGTTTTTGTTTGTGTTTCCTCCGTGGTTTAAGTTTGTGAGCCCTCAGGGGTCCTCCTACTGGTCTGGGGCCCCAAGCAGTTGCCTGCCATGCCTGTTGAAAAGCAGCGCCTCTGGGTTAAAAAAACCCAGCCTTTTTCTCTGAAACAATATGGGAATAACTGCAATGATTAGTACTGTATGGGAAGATTTCAGTAAGTTGTCAAGATCACAAAAACCCTGGTCCATGTGAACCCTTCTTTATAATTAAAAAAAAGGTTTCTTTTGGGGCGCTGGTGGCGCAGTGGTTGGTGCGCGCGCCCCATGTATGGGGGCTGTGGTCCTCCAAAAAAGCTTTCTTTCCTTGCCATTTTATTTCATATTAACTAACAATTGTGAGATTTGAATCTCAATGAGGCTTTAAACTGGATTAAAGAAGTGGGGGGAAAAAGCAACATTTGTCCTCACAATTAAAAGGGGCATGTTAAGGTTTATAAAAGCTTTAAACTCTGTTGCAAATGTTTTTATAGACAAAGGGATCTGAAGCTTGCTTTAAGTTAGATGTCGGCCACCAGTGAATTTTGTATTCTGAATAGACTGTCCTCCATCTGTTATGGTTTAACGCCTGAATAAATTACCTGTTGCACCTGTTGCCACAATCAACATGTAAAGAAACTGTCCAACCGGTTTGATAGCGCGGTTCACTGATATTTACACTCACACAAGCTTACATGTAAATGTAAGCCTTAAAATGTGTCATATTTTGTTTGTGGAGGGTAGAAATGTCTTCATAATCAAGCAGCTTTTTGCCTTATTGAACGGGACAGTGGATTGAGGATGAAACATGGAACAAGGAGTTACAAGCCGGACTTCAACCTGGCCCGCCCGACTGGAGGACTACAGCTTCTTTACATGGGGCGCGACCCAACGGCTAGGCCCTCTGCACCCTTTTATAGAGTATTAAAGGGGTTTGAAAATACACTGTAAGGGAGAATACTCAAAATGACAACAAATATGAGGTGCAAGAAAAAAAAAATAACAATCAGTTTTACAAATCCATATTTGTACAGTTTTATTGTAGCAATTGTGGCATACATTACACTTAATATGAAGAGAAAAAGCCAGTTATTGATGGGACTATGATCCAACCAACATTTTTTAGACAAGCAAAATTTTTTTTAAATAAAAAACACTATGGCTTCATACGGAGGTTTGATTTCTCACCTTCATGTTTGAAGACATTATTTCATTATACTCTGACTGAGAATCACGCCAACAGGCTACATAAAAAGTGAATCATTTACTCATCAAACTGTGGTCAGGCTGATACCGTGCAGCTGTGTGTTAAACATTGCACGTAACTCTAGCTGAATAATTTCTTTTGTTCTGTTTACGATGCCTTACTTATCATTACGGTCTCATTTATGTTTTTATCCTATCACAAAATCATGTCCTGTAAAAGTTTCAGGTCAAAGATCAGGTTAAAATACGTCAGAATGAAAATAGTAAATGAAAAGTATGAATTTATTGACAATGTATGGGCTCAGGTCCTGCGGTTGATAACATGTACACATTTATTAAATTACATGTAATACATTAAAAGCAGATTTAAAACTGTGTAAATTGTGATATCAGTTTCCACATCCTCGATGTAAATTTGCACAATTCCCATAGACTGTCCCTGTCTCCTGACAGACGGCCATCCTGCCTTCTTCCTCTTTCTCGTGCTTCAAACATACCTTTGAAATCCTGCAGGTTGTTAACCTATCAGAAAAGAGAAAAAACAGTTTATGATAAAGCGCATTTCTTCCTTTTTAACAACTTTAAGTGAATGACAGAGTAGGTGTCATCCCTTCACCATCCTAGATTGCAACAAGATACTGAATATGGTCAATCAATCAATGGTGGGAGATTTAGAAGTGGGTATACTCTATGGAGACTGAAAAATAAGTGGGTATACACCATATACCTGCGTATATCCTGCCCTACACCACTGGTAAGGCTCCATATATCTGAAACAGACTCTCAGAAAACTGCAGGTCTGCTGAAGCTCACAGCTCTTTTTAATCAACGCTGAAGAATCACCTTTTTTTTTTACAGCTGCCTCTTATTAATAAAATATTTTTAAATAACTTTTTTAATTTGAACTCTGCACTGTAACTTTTACTCTCTTTTTGGCAACTGTGTGTATTGTTTTTGCTTCTGTTGCAAAAACCCCACGGTTGCTGAAATATGCTTGCCTTATACACACACTTTTACCATTGTTACAGTCATTGTAGCTGTAAATCTGTTTCATTCATAATTGTTTCTATAGTTGTTCTGTTTGTCTCTATCCATCTGTTTCTTTCTGCATCTCCTTTTAACCCACTTTCCAAGCCCGACAGTCGGGGCAGATGGCTTTTCAACATGAGTCTGGTTCTGCTCGAGTTTTCTGTCTCTTAAAAGCAGTATTTTGTTGGCGCTGTTACTTTGCTCAATGTTGCCAAGTGCTGTGCTCATGGTGGATTATTGTCAGGTCTTTGTCAATAATATAACAGAAAGCACTTTGATAAAAAATGTAAATTGACTGATTGCATTGAGACAAGTTTGTAAAAATCTACCTTCCCAAATTACATGTCTGACGTTACAACATATATTCCATTTCTTCATTAATATTTGCACTTCATAAAACACATGAATAATTCTTACAAACAGCAACACAAAAAGTATTGTTTCTTCCCTGAAAACAGAATTAAGAAAATGATTTAGTTGGTTAGAAATGTATGGTGGTATGGCTGCCCTTTGTTTTTTTTTTTAAAGATTTATTTTTGGGC